CCCCCTTTCCCCCCCCGCCAATGTCATCAAGTATTTATTACACACCTACTCTCACATTTGTTACTCTTGCATGGTTTATACCACAGTTCGGTAGCTGTCCATCCTTTGCCTTACCTGGCAGTTTTGTTAGGAAGGTAGAAGAGAAAGCGTTGCCTTGTTGCGTAACTCAGTGCTGCTGCCCATAGCCAACAACCGTGGCTACGATCAATCAAGTATGTGTCCAGCCTGACCTGCTGACTCAGTCTGTTCTGTTGCTGGCATCTCATGACTTTCAGAATAAATTGTGATCAATAATGTGTCTCCATTAAAAAAGGTTCATGTCTTGGTAGTGTAGTTAGTATGTCTTTGGTTTCACTTCTTGGGCCACCACTGATGAATGTCTCGAAGCAGTCATGTAATAAAGCCACTTTTTTAAAGCTTAGGTATTTCTCTCCTGTCCTGCTACTCTTTACTCAGTAGATAAGTCTCCTGTGGTGGCTGCAAAACTGGGCTTTGCTTACTTGCAATAACTTCTGTTCCTTCCCCACCAGAATACAGTAGCTGTGTGCTAGTGGGAGCTGCCGTGAGAAAGTATTTCAGCGTTGGTACAGCCAGAAAAGCACTAGGCCATCAACAGAACTCAGCCCTGGTTTTTAATGTGTCCCAGTCCCTTCTGGGAGAGCTGTACTGACTTTAGTCCATGTGAAGTACCTTCAGGTGGGTCCTCATTAAACGTGACTGTGGTGAGTTTAACTGTGCCTGACTTGCTCAGAAAGGGACCCTCTTTTGCCTTTCCCCTGGGGACACTGGCTTCAGCTATGACCTTCCCCGGTAGTTTTTCTGCCTCACAACTCGTGTTGCTGGTTATTGCACTGCCGCCTTCACCACCCAGCGCCCCTGGCAGCACACCAAAGGGTGTATTTTAAAAAGTGCAAGGCAAGTGCCACCCATTACAGAAGCCTCAGCACCCTAATAGTGCTGGTCCCTTGTACCCCACAGAAACAGTACCTGCGCCTCTGATTTTAAAGGCTTGTTCTGGCTCGTTCAGGAGGAAAGGGAGACAGTGCCTGATTGCTGCTTTGTGGAACAACATTCTCCCAGTTGTGGGCCTATGGTCAAAAGTTTCTTTTCTTAAAGCTGCTGTTGGCCTGTGAAAAGAGCCTCCTGTATTGAACAATTACATGACCCTACACCTATAAAATAATCTTTTATTACTCATCACAGGCTGATAGTTATTAAAAAAAAAAGGTTAACTATTTTTTCCTTCCCCTAAAGGGTTCTGACCATTTTTCTGCTGCTCTTGCTTTTTCCTAGTTTTGAGATGTGTGCATTTATCACATCTGACAACTGTACTACAAGTTCTCACTGGGACAAAATACACTTAGTAATTGCCTGGACCCTGAAAACCCTGTAGGAGAAGCAGCAGTTGCTACATGGGTCTACAAGCCTGCCAGCTCCATTTCTAGTGGGGGTCACTCTAGGTCTGTCAAACCCTTTACTTAGGCCTCAGGGCTGGAGCCCTGAATCAGTGATGAGGTCCTCACGGTCACTCCCCAGGTACATCTAATTTCAAGCCTGTCTGAGGGCCAGAGCAGCACTGTCACATTTTGATGAGGTCATACTTGGCAGATGATGCAGAAAAAGGAAAAAAAAAAAAAAATCTGTACTCCTCCATGCAAAAAACAACATGAGACTGCTGCTGCTGGGTCAGAGAAAGGGATCAAAGCTAAACTGGGGGGGGCAGCTCAGTGCCCAAGTCTCCTGCCTTGGAACATGAGCACTGAGAGTATGGTACATGCCTGAAGCATCAAGAATATAATTTACTGGAGATGACAGCTTCCTTCAGCTGCCTTCATTGTGGCTGTCCTCATCCCCAGCTTTCCCAGCATCAGGGTGGCAGCCAGGCTGTGTTCAAGAGCTGTTGGTCATCCCCATCCCTTTATCAGTTGAAATCGTTGCATTTCGTACCTTCTACCCAATTGTACCTGCAGCAGGAGCTAAGACTTGGGCTGTATTATTTCCAACAACTGTCCCATATATCAGCCTATACCAACTTTCACTGAAGCACATAATAATCAAATTGCTAATACTGCTAAACCCAACAGCGGGGAGCAGGCACAAAGCTCTCCTCAACAGCTCTGCAGGCAGGAGCCTGCCTCTGAGCCAGTGGCAAACCATCATGGAAACCCACAGGTATGATTTAATAACCGAAATTATATTCTGCAGAGAAGAGTTCTATGATATCTAATTTTCCAAACGCACAGCAATTAAGAGATTTCACTGAACAATACAAATCCTACAAGAAATAGCCACACAACAAGTTGTAGTGAGCTACACCACCACAAAAATCTCTCTCAACAGCCGGTACCCACTGACAGATGATAGCCATAGCCTTTAAATGAAACCAGTTGTCACTTCACTGTGACCTGAATCAAAAAAGCTGCCTTGTTTATCGTGACTCAGGGGAGTTCCTACAGAGCCAAAACTATGCAGAGACTGAAGTTAATAATTGCTAATAAAAACAAGCAGACACCCCCCACCCACCCCCAGTTATTGACTGTCAGTGTCCAGAGAGTAGTTCTTCAGCATGAGGGCAGACTGACCCCAGCACCCCTCTGAGGACACCAGTTCTTCACTCACAGTGAATACTACAACTTGGGTCTCCATCACAACCCTATTATTTTCTCAAAGTTGAATCACTCGCTAACAGGTACATTTTGATGGGCTACAGCTCCCCACCACCCCAAGTGATGACTTGGAAGTCCTTCACACCTACCCACGCTCTGAGAAACCAGAGAGACAGCGGGCAGCTACAGAGACCATGGACCCCTCTGTCCACCAGGAGCAACCCGAGCTCTGCTGATGCCAAACCCTCCTACTGCAGCCTCCGCAGAAGTCTGCCTTCGCTCTCCATCCTCCTTTTTACATTTCCACCATCCAAAATTTAACTTCTTATTTCTGGATCAGGATGACTAATCCTTTTCTCCAAAAACCTGGACAACTGAACAATATTATTAAAAAACATTACCATTTATTGAACATAAAATACCTATCAAAAATCTGCTACCTAGCAACAACAGTAACTGTTAACAACAACCAGCAAAACAGTCACAATTAACAATGATAACAATAACGACCACCAAATCCAGACAACGAGTTAGCATCTGAATCGAGTTAGCTGCTGTTTTCGGTGTCGTTGGTTAGGCTTTCCGCAAGGTCACTTAACCCGGCTTTGTTCAAGGCGGTAATCAGATTCTCGGGGGTTGCATGTGCGCCCTCCTGATCCTGCCAGGCAACCAGCAGCTGCTTCGCTCTCATCTTCATGTCCTCACTGTCTGACTCGATTTGCCGTATATCGGAATCCTTCATTTCCAAGTAGGGGGCCAAAGCCTTCCACTGCTCCCCAAGCCTGTTAGCAAATGACTCGATTTGTTCGCCCGTCATGGCTTTGTCCCGTTGTACCTCTGGACCTGGGGGGAAATAATAGATTAATAAAAATCGGTGAGACACAGGGAGTGTCTCCAAGTACTGCAAATAAATCTTCCCTGATGTGCCACATTTTAAACCGATTTATTTACTAGCAAACTGACTTACACCGTTCCTTCAGTTAAAACCTACTCAAGAGCTCTGAGAACAGACGGGTTTTTACAGATGTATTACCTGGGTGTCAAGAGGAATGTCCCTTATTGCCCACGATAAAGAATTTTTTTTTTTTTTTAATGTTATTTCCTGGTTGACTGAGAGAGAATTGCTAAAGTCTTAAGTACACCAGAACTGCCTCCTCCAAATGAAAACAAGGATTTTGACAGGCAGCCTGCAAGTTTCAATGTATGAGTTAACTGTAATAGTAAAATACAGTGATCTTTAACATTTTTCAGACTTATTTTAGTCACTTTACTTGGGAATTAACCCAGGTAAAAAAAGAGTTTGCTTCCCTTTTACCAAATTACTAAAGCCTCATATTCCTATTAGCAGCAGGAGTGTGAATAGGACAGTAACTTTAACATGTAGTCAGCATTTTAAGGGGTTTTCTGTCATTCTGGCATCGAGATTAGAAAAACCATGGAATACTGTGCTCTGCTGAGAAGCCAACGGCTGCAGTGATTACAGAGGTGGGTTTGCACATTTATAGCTTATAATGATCTACAGTCTATGGCTTACCACCTATGTTTATTTCATACTTTTAAAGAAAAAACCAAAACCCTAAAGACTGAATTACTTAGGCATAGAAATGAATCCTATTCCTAATTTTTAATAAATGTCTCACCCTCATGCCACCTGAAGAGCCAGTTGGCATGGAGTGGAAGTTTCAGCTCTCCCAGTGCTTACCAGTCGCACTCATTTGTCTGAACTGAACAACTCACTACATCAAGGGGAAAGAACAGAAGATCCTGAATGACAAAACAACAAATGCACTCAGAGCACTTCCCTTATTTCTAAGCACAATGGGGCATCACCAACCACAGCTCTGCCATCTTTGCTTTAAGACAA